AATGAAGAGGGCTATCTCGGTTTCGGGGAATGCGAGTGCTGTGAGCGTTACACAGGCATAAATGGCGCCTGATGCCCCCAGGGAGGGAAGAATTTCGCCAACTGATGACTTAGCTGCTGTTGACGCCACCGCTGTTGAAGCTACGGTCGCAAACTGTTAGACATTTGAGCGGTGCACATATTGCGTCTTACCTGCGCCAGCAGCGGTGACGGTAGTTGTAGCACTGGCTTTCGATGAAGACAGCGCTTGGGCGATAATTCGCGGGTACCGCCATTTCGTAGAGATGATGTGTGATACCAAGCCAGCGAATAAGCCGGCTACGAGCGGGTTTATACTGAGGTACTTGGCTATAACGCTGGTTCACGTACCAGATGTATAGAAAGCAAGGAAATGCCATTTTGGGGTTGCTTCTAGCTGGTCGGGTTGGTGCTTGGCCTGTTCTTTACTAAAGTAGTGAACGGCCGCAGCACCTGTATGGAGTTGAGATATCGAACTGAAAAACTGAGGGTTCGCCACATACCGAAGCTCTCTAAGGCCAGGCAGTTGAAGAGAAGATGTGGTAAAGAGCGGTGGCTACAGATGGGGTCTGAGTCAGCGATCGCCAGCTATGTGGCTGGTGGTCGTTACCTGAACATGCTTGTCAAAAGCGTGTAAGACCTGCCTGAGAGGGGGTGATGCATGAAGCGTATGTTCATAAAGGGCTGGAAACGCTTGAATTTCCAAGCGGCGTATACAGCAGCATTTAGCAGGCATATCTTCCAGCATATCCGCTTCCCCTCGTTGTTATCTAGGTATGTTTGGGCGACAGTGACGTGTATTTTGGTGATGTAGACTTGCAGAAGGAGGGGGATGCTTTGATACACTTCTTTCATCCGCTCTAGCCCGGATTGCAGTTCCTTTGGGGAGTGAGGGGACGCGTTTGGGCATGAATCTAAATACTCACTTGCCCGAGCTGTACATATTGTGCTTTGACTAGGTCCTCATTCCCTAGTGTAGCAGATCTCCAGCCAGAAGAGAGTCGCTTCACCCAGTATTCCGTTTCGACGTCGGTGTTAGCAGCGGCCATTATGAAGCCAAACGAAGAGACTCCGAGAAAAAACTAGAAATCGACCTGCTATGTTAGGTGCGGCATAACGAGTATAGGTAATTCCACTTGCCATGATTTGACTCCTGCAGCGAGGTTTGACATTGAAGTCGCTGAACGATTTGAATGCGCTGTTTCGTACGACTGTATCTCGGAAGGACGGTATTTCGGGGGTTGGCGGTGGTGGTGGTGGTTGAGCGGGAGCTTTATGGGACAAGGAACGACGAGGTGAGCATGAAGGAGCTACAAGTGTCCATGAAGGGAATCTTGCAGACGACCGGGTGCAGCATCTTGTGAAGGCAGGGACTCGGAGCATTTGCGCTGGGAATGACTTGACAGCCGCTTTGGGAACCGACGCGCGAGCTCGAACCCTAACCTCGAATTTGGGTTTGTGACTCTCTCTCCCCTCACAATCACTTCAACGCCCATGGCATCTTCGCGTTCCTCGACGTCTACAGCGCTCTGGGCTCACCTACTCAGGAAGGATACACCCTCGAGCACTCCTGGCACTTCCTCAGATGCGTTAAATCCTCCCATAGTGCCGCTGGACCGGACAGGCACCTCCATGCGAATGCTGCTCCATGATACTCAGGCTAATTTCGAGAAATTCTCTGGGCGAATAGATCTCATGACAAACTGTATTGAATCCACCAAACAAGAAATCGTCACCGTGAAGAGTCTCTTCGAGGAACAGAATGAGAAACTCAGCATGGAGATCATAGACCTCGGTAATGTTCCATATATGCTCCTTCAAGACCCACTTATTCATCGGAAATTCTTATATGCAGTGAACAGGTCTCAGCGCGAAGTACAGAAAACGGTAGCATCTCCAGCACAAGCCAGTGAACTTGAGACGCTGCGGAAGGAACTTTCTTCGACTGACCTTAGAATACAAGGCCTGGACAATCGCCTGGATGCTATACATTTAGTGGGTGATAGTTCCACGACTTGAATTATATCGGGGTTGTGCTCACGGGCCTCCCAGCTCTACCAATCTCATAACCAAGGTCTTCAAGCCATACAAAACCAACAAAATGCGCTCCTCTCTGCTTTGCTACCTTTGCTACCTCTGCTCCAAACTCTTCCTATACACATCGACGCTGCTAAAGACCAAATTTCTGCTACCGTTAGATCTTATGTGAGCATACCGCCTCTCCCTCACGCAAACTCCGACAGGTCCTCTGCATCTCCCAGGCGCTCCTTCGAGGAGGGAACCTCAACAGCATCCTCAACAGCAAATCGTCTATCGGTTTCTCCTGCTCCTCTGATTGGAAGGAAACGTTCCCGGTGTGGAAGTCCTAGGGCCAATCTCGGGCTGGTCGGCAACATAAGAACGGCTAAGGTCCAGGACGCGAAAAGACCACGGATAGAAATAGAGCCTATCGCGAGCGACCAATTGGGTATCCTTGAAACAGCCAACCCTGGTGCACAAGACGGCGTCGAGAATAACTCTCGCGGGAGTCCCACCAACACAGCCTCATCACGGACCTCTGATGTTCGCAGCGTTCCTGAAGGCGACTCCCAGCACGTTCCAGTTAACCCTTCTTCGTCTACTTCCAGCTCTATGCCGAAGATACAGCCTAAAATAACCTCAACCTTTGTTTCCCGGAAGCCCCTCCCACCCTCTACTGACTCGTGCCTTCCCACTGCCACCAAAAAAACCATACTGACTCCGGCTCCACCGTCGAATGCTCTAGTCGATTCACTTGTACCGGCACCGACTAAGACGAAGTGGCCCTCCCCTGGACGCCGCCCGGCTGCTGAAAGTAGGCCGCAACTTTCTGGGGCTTCCAAGGAGAACAACCACCCTGGCCCCAAGCCAATCCCTCCGCAGGAAATAAGTGCGCCTCGAGCCACAAGGCTCATCTCCAAACCAGACCCAGCAACTGGACGTTTACCCACTAAAACGCACCTCAGCCCTATGCCATCGTTTGTGACCCCTGTCAGACCCCGACCGTTGAACACTGGCTCGACGCAGCTACTTTCAAGAGACGGTACTCCTAGACTGCGCCCTCGGCCTCCACCCCCACCACCTCCCCCGGTTCAGAAGCCCATGACGCGAAGCACGACTATGATGATGTCGACGTTCACAGCTCCGCATCGGTCTACATCGTCTCTCGACCCAGGAAACTTTTCTACGGCGACGGCTGCCGACTCTGGGATTGCGCCAAGTATGCGAGAGAGACGACGGTCATTCGTAAGTACACAAGTCCCTTGGATTTCAGGCGGCTAACCCTCAATAGGTACGAGATGGAAAGAGGTTCATTCCCATTGATGACGATGATGATGACGACGACGATTACATAGGATGATGCAGTTTGGCCAACAACAGATATCACTCACCTCTTACATTCACTGACAAATGGCTGTTGTACTAGATAGAAACCTTGTAATATGTCGTATGTTCGGATGGTTATAGGCTTTATGTATTATAGAATTTCAACATCGACGTTCGCCCGCCTAAGCGAACCAGAGAATACTCAACGGGTCTTCACACCCGTCCATACTGCATACGGCCCCTTCAAGAAACCTTCCCTCCGCCGTATGACCCACGAATCTAAGGCCAACCAAAGTGTTAGGAATTCACGAATGACGTCTTCTGCTCTGAGTTCAACGACAACGAGGGCAACAGTCCGTTCGGGGATAGCTAGTGTATCGATCGTACTAACGAGAGCTGGTAGTAACGACGGGTTGTATATGCAATCGACAATGAGAAGGAGATCTACGGGCTCCGGCGAGACGGCGGAAATGTACTTTGTCCGGAGAGTGGGGCTTGCGAGGGCGTGGAGGTCGAGCCAGTCGAGGGTCTGTGTGGAGATATTTGAGGAGTGTTGGGCGGCTTTGATGCTGGAAGGGAGGCTTGCGTGTACGCGATCAATAGTATTGCTTGATATGTTCTTTCGGATGAGGGGGATCAGGGCCTCGATATCGGTCGCCGTGTAATGCTTGACATATGGCGAAAGAAGGATAGCCAGTAGACCAGTGCCGGCTCTGGTTTGAAGGCATATAGGAAACTAAGCAATGACGATGTATATGCAATCTATCAGAGAACGATTTACCCAAGCTCCAGAACATGGGATGCTTTGAGACGTTCAGGATCCAGTAGCTTAGGCCGATCACCCGTGTTGCCAAAGTACAACTGCTGCAGGATGGCCTGCGCAAAGTCGACGCTTCGGGAATCGGCGGTTCAATCAGTCCTTTATCATCTTAATGAATGTACAGTATCCAACCTTGCCTTCCATAGAACGCTGCCGGTATCCCCTTTTCTGCTACGCAAAGCGGTTTTGTCCTGCCATAGCTCGACCTCCAGTGAGATGTCCGGTCGAGTGGCGTTCTTGGAAGTAGCCTTTTTATGGTGCTTCCTCGGGGACTCCTTGGCACTACCGCTCGTGGTGGTGCTCCCTGATTTAGAAGATAGCGGCACTGTTAGCTCGATCTTGACGATCAGGGTATCGGTTTTGGAGTCGACATGACCGAGGCCACGGAAAGGATCTCCCGGAGCGCTGGGCGAAGATGACTGGAGGGTCGAATAGAGTAAAAAGACCTACGATGGAACGGGATGAGTTGCGGGTTCGACGAAAAGACGGTCTCGCGACAGGGGATTTGGAACGGCAGATAATTGAGGTAAAGAAGATGCTCGCCTCTTCATCTGCGTCGAATACTTGCTCACAAACTCCTTCGGGAATACCTAGACTAAGTTGCTCGGTCATTATTGCGTATGGGAGGAAAAAGACTTTCCAAACAAGTTCCTCGTAGCCGATTTGAACGACTGACCTCCTCATTACTAGTGAGGCGCTCTACCAACTGAGCCAACGAGGAGTTGAAAAGCATGGTAGTCTTGCAAATATTGAAATCACGAGATGAAAGATCTTCGGAGCTGCTGGTCTGAATGGTCCAAATTGAACAAGCTCTCAACTCCTCGTTGGCTCAGTTGGTAGAGCGCCTCACTAGTAATGAGGAGGTCAGTCGTTCAAATCGGCTACGAGGAATGTATCTGTATCCGTATGAGGGATTTTTACCAGACTTTTGAGAGGTGGTTACTCGTTGATAGTCTTCGAGGTGTTTGATTCCTTTTTGCTTTCCAGTATGACCATCCGCATTCGCATTGGCGACCTGCTTTACTCTCTTGTCGTGCCCTAGGTCTTGGAGTCTAGTCAGTGACTGTAATGATGGCAAGTAATTACCTTAGATCTCCTTCGAGTGACCTTCATCACAATAACTGATCTATCTAGTTCACCATAAGGTTTCTCGGTTGCGAAATTGACTAGGATAATAAATACATACATGATACAATACAACAACTGAAATACATCGTGCTATGATGCCTTTAAAGATTCTGCAGTTTGTATATCCCACTCCTCAATCTCGGCCTGGGGTATACTCGCGCAAGCAGCATTTATCTGCAACGTAGCTCCGTTAGTAAGCCAAGGTCGTAGTATCGTAGCACTTACCCGGGCAACTTTGTCAAGCAGCGTTGCAGCTTGCTCACTTTCACTCTCCTGCACGGTCCGGTTCTCTTCGAGCTCGGCTTGAAGTCGTTTATTTCTCTCTGCCTCCTGCGTGCAAGGTTGGTGGACATTATCATCAATTAACGAAGACGTACCTCCGCAACTAGCTCCCGCATTCTTTGTACCTCGGCCTCAAGAATGGGTACAGTGCGAGCACTTACAGCGTTGTGCGGGTCGAGGTCCTCTCTCCAAACATCGTTACGCGTCTCATTTTGGCGGCTTCGTTCTTTGGCTTCTGTGACAATGGCGTGTAGGATGTCTATGTTTTTCTGGACTCCATACTTCGCGAAGAGCTCGTCGAGATCTGCCTGCGTGGACAGTCAGTTGTCCCCGGCGTGTGAAAGGCAGAGGCTGACATGCATCTGGGACTCCATATGCCCCGATATGGCATTAAACACTGCTGAAGGGCCATTCTTCTCCTCTTCGACGTAGAGGGGGAAACATTCTGTGAAGTCCTCAAATCTGACGCGGTGAAGGTTGAGCCCAGCGGCGTGAAAGGCGAGTATAGCGGAGTACTCACGTCCACTTGTGCGTCGAACGTTGGATGGCGAGTTGGAGGGCTGAGTGGAAATGGGTCCAACGGCGGGATCCTGTCTGTACGTGCATCGCGCTCCCGACAAGGGTCGACGCGATTGTAACGCGTGACGTACCATGACCGTGAGTCACACATCCCTTTTGTGGCCATACCTTGCCACCAGCGAGTGCCGTCCGAGCTCACTCTCCTTGTCGTTGTATGTGATGCAGTCTTGACATTCAAAGTTTCGCGACCTGACATCCCATCTCAGAATGCCTGCGGACGACATACCTCGTAATGACGATAATGGCACAGTAAACGGACGAGAGCGACAACGGGGCTCAGTCCCCTCATTCCTATTCATCAGCTTCGTCCTTTTCATGCTCACGAACCACAGCGGCGATGAGTTTCTAGCCAGACATCAGTATCAGGATGCTCTTCGCTCTCTGTCATATCAGTTATCCAACTTCACTGCGTGGAGGAACGGGACGGAGTCTGACTTCTCTCTCGTACGTCTGCCCCATATACTTCATGTTTCTATGGCTAATTTCAGCAGCCTAGTACCGATATAACTGCCCAACCTCTTGTAGACTCCTTCCTCCATTATGGTCAACTTCAGGATCCAAGTCGGGCCTCTTACCATCCTAACATCACGGGCTTCCTCCGAGGAGAAGGGTCGGCCCATAATATTACTCTGCTCAGTCTAGCAAGTGAAACGGTGCCTTGGAAGTCATTGGCTGTCGAATACACTTCTGACCTCAACATCACCGAAGCTTCGGAGAGGGCAGGTTCTTGGAACTGGACTGCATCGGACAAGGTGGCATTGAGTCTCGTTGAGAAGCCAACCGTCGACCCTCAAACCGGTCAGCGATTGAGATTGAGCGACGATGTAGCCCTTGCACACGTGCGTACCATCTTCTCCCTTGCTTAAAGGTCAGCGGTTGAGATATCCATAGGGGAGAATTGAGTTTACCGACGTCAACACAGCAGATGAACTAAGGCTGGAGTTTGAGGCAATCCATTTCATCACCAATGGTTCCTTCTACGGCTTCGCGCTACCCAACGGGTAAGTCTCGCTAAACTGAAAGTCATCACACGAGTGTCATATCTTTCTGGCTAGACGACAGATCGACATTCGTTTGTTGCCATCCCTTGTACCAGACCCACATAAGAATGCAACGGCGGACATGATCAAGCCCGAGATTGAAGCGCGTATCAAGAAACTTCAACAGCTCATCGATGACGGGAACATTGTAATTGACCCCGACGCCCCCAATCCCGGTCAGTACGTGTAATTCTGCCCCCCAGCAACTGAGACTCATATACAACAGATGAAGGTATAAAGACAAATTGCTCTTTCACATTTCAAGCGCATCTTGTACCCTCGAAGGTTCCTCAGTATCTCATGGCGGAGCTGGAGGAAGAAATACAGAAACCCACAGGAGTCTCCACCGTCGACCCGCCTCGGATTGCTGTCGATGCTCTCTTTCTCTCTAAAGACTGTGGGATACTCTACGAAATCCATGAAGCAGAGGGACTAAGGTTTGCTTTCTCGCAGCTCTTTTGGATAAAGGATTCACATAATTCATTTTTAGGTCACGCACCTTCTTCCGTAAGGTTACTACCTGTGAGTTGTAAAGTTGGTTGTGCCTATCGTTATTGAATCCAGCTCCTGCCAGATGCCGCGACAGCAGGGATCGTGTATCTTATTCTCCTTTTCCTCCTTATACGGCAAATGGAAATCAGCCGAACTCCATCTGGAATTGCGAGGGTTTCCCGGTGGACTCTACTCTTTCAAGCCACTATGGACTCTCTATCGTTCGCAGGGCACATCACGTTCGCAATCCTGTTTGACGGTCGAGCATCGCTGAGTCTGGTAGCACCCGCATTCTTGGCTTGCACATTGTTCATCCACGAAGCTGTGCGTAAGGTCATCTTTTCGGATTGTTGCTCTTGCTGACGGGAAATGTCAAGCAATTCGCGATTCTGGTATATCAAGTTCAACTGCCGGAGGATTCTGTCCCTACCCCACAACCCATACCTACTATCCCTCCCGTATCTAATAATCCACCTATCGAACCGGCATCACCAGGGATCAACCCTCCTCCCTCGGCTGTTGGACCGCAGCCGCAGCCAACAACCGCTGCTGCCACCGCTACTGCTGAAACATCCAGTCTACTGCTGTTCTGGCGGTTTGTTACCAGCGACCCACAGATCAGAGTTTGTAAGTATGAGGCTTGATCACTATCGAACTTGCTCACGCGCCACTGCTATTGTTACACAGGGTTTGCCTTGTTCCTATTCGTTATCGTTTTAGTGAGGGTCATATTGTCTCCCGTAATGGGGGTTCTCTATGTTGCCTTCTCGTACTCGTCGATATGGATGCCGCAAATCATCAGATCTGCTCGTCGAGGTAGGGCTAGTGGCTTGAGTAAGGAATATCTGTTAGGGACCTCAGCTTGCAGAGTATATCTCATGCTTTGTACGTTCTCCATGATGATCAATCTCTCCTCGCGAGATGGACTGATATATACGGTTGTTAGACTTTCTGGTATGCCCAAAGAACGTCCTTGAAGTTCAGCCCCGACGTGAGATTTGCATCTTAACCATCTATGTACCTTCTAATCACTTTCCCTGCTAGGTTGGACTTGGCTCCTTGCGCTGTTTGTGTTCGCGCAAGTGGGAGTAGTACTGCTTCAAGATCGGTTTGGCCCAGATTTCTTCCTCCCCGCACGTGTACGCCTTCCTTTCCCTCTTGCTACGTGTATCACCATCATTGACCATTGATTGCTGCTCTAGTTCAAACAGGTCAATGTGTACGACTACCATCCTGTATTGCCTGTTCCCGATGCGGAGGCGCCGGAGCAGTCACTCGGCGACTGTGCCATCTGTATGGACGCTATCGTTATAGATTCCTCGTTGAGGCGACGGTCAGAGGATAAGCTTGAGCGCCAGATGTCCTCCAGCAAGTCCAATGTGAAGGCTAGGACGTCGGGCTTCCTCAATGCCATGCAGAAGCGGATGGTTGGCGGCGGGGCGAAAGCGCGGAAGAGCTATAGTTTGGCGCCATGTCACCATCTGTTCGTGAGTGAAATATTAATTCTTCTATTTGTGCGGAACGGTTCTGAATCATGATAATCCAAAGCACACGGAGTGTTTGGAGAAGGTAAGCAGCCCATCTTGCTTAGAACTACTGATAAATGCGATGCTCATCCGATAACTTCGCAAATAGTGGCTTGCTATCAAAGTAAGTTGTATCCCTGACGGTACACAAGTACTGACTTGGTCGTCTATAGAATATATGCCCACAATGTCGAAGACCTCTACCACCGCTATGACCCTTTCCTGTATTTGTATTTCTCAGTCATTCGTTAGACAACCCATCCTATGTTAAAATACCCCACCCCTGTAGTGTTACATAGACCGTTGATTGGGTACGCTATGGTGAAGCCGCCTGTCTTCAGCCCGGTCAGTACGCGAAGTTCGTGAATAATCATACAGCCTCGCTTGCGATTGTTTCACGTTCGTCAGTCAAACAGTCAAGCTTCGCCGCGTCCAAGGTACCCGTGACAACACAAACTTCGAGTGATCGCAGTCACAATAATGTGGCAGTGCCCGCTTTAGACCCTCTATATGTAGTCCTAGAACTTCCCTCCGTCCGCAACATACTGGGAAGACAGCCCCTTCCTCATCCTCAAATCATAGGCCATGAGTTTGGACAAGAATCTGTTCACGTTGGTGGTTACTCCGAACAAAGACCACCCGAATGTGGTTGATCTCGTCGAGCCTTCCGGCACGATTCATTATCGAAAGCAGCGGGTTGTAGATCCTGCGGGATACAAGGTTGAGGTTTATGGTGAGTCACAGTGATCTATTTCAATAAGCTTTGATATAGAACTTGGCAATAACAGACCCGATGTCTGAGTCCTTGCTTGTGACAGTAACAGCCCCGGCGAGCACGAGCAAG